ACAGGTGGTCGTTATTTCAACGCGCACCCGAGGAGAAAGAGACACCACGGATTGATTATACCCTCCCAGGCTACACGACGATAATCCACGTGACGTCAGAGTCCGCGCCATCTAATTCCGGGCGCTTCTAAATCCAGCGCTTTATTCACATTACAAACGAGCCGCATCCGCAGTGGCCTCTGTTTCCTCGAGCGAGGTAAAGACCCGCCGCACAATCGGACGTGAGAGACCCCCGCGAACTGACCCTTTGAGTATTTGATGCTGATTGCCGGAGGGCACGGGTATTAGCTTTGATATGTGCATAATCGCTGGCTGCGATTCAATGTAGCGACGAGACATTTGGCGAGCAACGAAGCGAGCCGAGATCTTGCATATACAGAGAAATGGTTTCTTTGAAAAACTGACGATGATTCACAAAGCTATTTGGGAACTGTAGCGGTAAACATTTTGTCATGGGTAAATTTAATCGGATGGTTGAGCTTAGATTGTTTCGACCGAGAGTATAGTAAAAAAATTTAATGGTTTCGGTGATTAGTTTAAAAAATGGTAGGTCCTGATGTATGGTAAATTTTGTTTGGATAAAATGTTACATTATATTAACGAAGGTATGCCGAGTATTTGGTGTATTTTCAAGGCATGATTATTTCAAGAATTGCATAACTTCTCTCTTTCTCTCTCTGGCACGGAGTCTCAGCTGTCGAGTAAACTAAGTAATAAATTGCTTCGCTGACGGCGTTTAACACGAGTTTGTTAGACTCCGGTGGTATATGTGTATATTTAAAAACGAAGTAATAATTAAGAGCTGAGCCTAAGGTTTTGGAGATCGGACCACTTGATTTTTACGTAAAATATCAATTTTCTAAAAACTATAATAAGATTTGAAGAATGCGATTGTTTATTGTTAAACTGTTTTAAATTACGGACGAAAATAAAAGTCACAACTTTATCTTTTCTAAACTAATTTTTTTGTAATTCAATAGGTTATAAATAACGAGTGTGCTACGAAAATAGACCATCCTACTTTTTACAAATAAATCTATACATGTATTGGATGCTAATTTAGGGAAAAATTTTTTCTAAGCACGAAAAAATGCCAATGACAATTTTTAATTGACACGAAAAGTATATCGGTATTTTTAGTTTGAAGGCAAAAATAATTCTGGCAGTAAGTTATTCTCTTTATCGCCTTTGCAATGGTGACGTGAGTAAATAATAAAATTATCAGAAACGCCTTTTCAAAGTCAGAATTTCGTCTAGTCCGCGAGGGTTCGGGAAAACAGGTTTATTTCAAGAAAGACCCTGTTAAGACTATGCGAGGCGGAAGAAGGCTACGGGCCAGCTGCAAAATTATTTTCCGCAACAACTTCAGAGATCATGCGTTTCAAAGGCCCTCGCGAAGAGAATGCGACCGACAAGCCAAAAATTTTGCAGTTTCCGTGATATTTTTCAGTACTTTTTTTAAGTATAAGAAAATTAGGCTCCTACTGACACCAGACCATTTTTTGCTCAGTTTTATTTTTTAAGTCTCGTATTGAATACTAAGTGGCGCTGCAGACATACAAGGACTCGATCATACGTTTTATTAGGCTGTAGACCCACTATCCTGCAACTTTATCTACGAGCAGTCCAACATAATTGAAATATTTTTTAATTAATTTGTCATAGATAATGCATACTTCCAATTTCCATTACAATATCAGTATAGCCAATGTGATTTGCTGATTTTTAGTGAACTTTTCATGTTTCCATATTGAGATTTATATATTTTTTTACCTGTATTCTACTTTCAGAGCTCTGCGGTAACCCAATGTTTGGGTGGGTAAAAAATATTTACTGCGAATCAGGAAAACCTTATTTTGATTCAGTTTCAGAGGAGCCACGAGGAACCCACTGAAACGGCATTTCCTCTGAACCCTGTCCAGAAAAAGTGATTTCGTCACGATTTTTTTCGCGCCTTCCCCCCATCAAAGTTCTCGCAAGCACCAGAATCAACAGTGGCGGCGCGAGAAACGCAAATCGGCGGATCGAAGTAACGCGAAAGCAGCCTCGCAGAAACGGTGGTGGTGGTAATTTCTCTCGCTCTTGTTCTCAAAATAGCCAGGAGAGAGAGAAAAAGCTGGACACACGCGCGCCGAGAGGCTCTACAACCCGGTCGCCATGTTCGTCGCCCGTAGCCCGAGCGAGAGAGACAATCTGACAGCGCCGCTCGGAAGATTTCGACAAAAGCGCCCGTCGAGGAAACGCCGAAAATAATCTCGCGCGCCTCTGGAGCGAGCTTTTTCGGATTCCCGTGTGTTTTTTTTTTGGTTTTTTTTTTTCGTTTTTTTTTTTTTTTTTTTTTTTTCCGAGGCACGCGCGAGTCACTATACGTTTCAACTTGTTTTCGTTCCCGATTCTCGGGTGTACTATGCGGTTATTGGTCGGCTTGTATTTTGTAGGTCACGACGGCGAGACCCGATTTTCTTTTTATAAACGTATTTACATCAGAACTGTTTCCACAGATCTGGACGGGCTTGGATTCCCGAACAACAGTTATTTGGAGCAGCAGCTAGCCATTCGTTCGCTCACATTGGATCGGAAGGGAAAATAAAATTTTTTTTCATCAATTATTGCCCAAAGTAAAAGAAATCTCGCGATTTATTCATATTCTTACGCATTCGCAACGCAGGCGTAAATGAGCTGTGTGACTTGGCACTTATTTTGACTCGTTCTGGAATTTCTCGAAAAGCTCTTTGATCGTATACTTCTGACCCGAGCAGTCCCAAGATGTTCGGGGAAGCGCTTGTCTTTGAACACGTATATCCCCGCAAATCGCAAAACCTTGCCTCATGTACCCCAAGCAAACGAAACTTTCGAGGAAGAGCTCGAGCACTTACCCTCTGACGCAGCTCCCTCTCGGACTCGAGGTCATCCTGCAGGAGGCGGATTTTGTCCTGAAATCAAAGAAAAACAAATCCCCATGCATGCGATTTTTTGTTGTTTTTGGTGTCATTTCTCGATCTCGAGCCATGCAGAGACAGAAAAACCAGAGAGACCCGTAATCTTTCGCGAGGTCGCGAGAGCCCGCGTCGCCGGATACTCCTACGGGTTTACGTAATCGCCGGGGTACAGAAATATCCCCCAGGCCGTGTTCCTTTCCCTCCCCCCCCCCTTTTTTGACTCTGGCACGTCGCTCGGTGCGCTTTTCTCCTCCACTGCGCCTCGCCTTCGTGAGCAACTGACCGAGCGCAGGAATTCACTTTGCTTTCCTTGCCTGCGATGATTGATGCTCGCACGCGCGTTTCTCCCCTTCCCCCCTGCCCAACCGATTGTCGTTATTAACAACGTCGTTTCACCAAAGATCGGGTGTATTCGCATGTGGATCACTGCTGCGTTGTTTTGGCCACACCGGCATCGCTGTATTTTTAAAAACAGCACTGGTGGTGGGCCGCGAAAAAAAAAACATACGCTTGGGCTCTCGGTGGGGGATGTCGAAACAGGCGCCTACCTTGAAGGCAGTGGCCGAAAGCCGAGAGCTAATCGTGCGTATACGTAGGCACACAGAGCCGACTATTTTCGTCCGTTGGAGCCGCACTTTGGCCCGGTACACGAGCCTCAAGGTGTACAACAACACGCGTGTGTTATACGAGCGAGCGCGCCAATCTCTGGCACTAGACTCATCTATGGTCACTGAACTTTTCGCCTTCGTTGCTGCAGACGACCCACACGATAGTTCCTTTTTTTTTCTTTCTTTTTTTTCTTTCGTTTTTCCACTGCTGTCATTGTATACGATGAATCGCCGAATGTACCTGTTCCCCGACGGTACACTGATATCCGATCGCTCACTCGGGTCCTCTTGTCCCTCTACAGGATCGTGATCGCGCACAGTACTTCGTTTCAAGAAGATAAAAACAACACACTTTTATTACGTCACCCGTGAAGAGCTCCTTGGCTGTCCCCGTTTTGTTTCGCACATTTTGCAGCCGCACTTTTGGGAAGCATCTACTTCTGATGTTGGGTGTTTCGATGTGTCGTGTGTGTTGGCTTTTATTGCGATGGTGATCGTTTTGAAGTAATGCTTGATTTTACCAATCATCGTGATACCGATTTTATTATTAATTTTTTTTTTTTCATTTCAAAGATTAATTTTCCCGAATCCAACGTTCAAGCTGAGAAAAGATGGATTTGTATCGCGTGTGCAATGCATGGCCCGGGAGATTCGGTAGTGTTTTTTGTCATTAGGGTAACTTACCTCGAGTCTGGTGAGAGCGCTCAGGTCGGCGCTGTACTCGATGCTGACGTCGGCCTGTCCACCGCCAGACGAGCGGTACGTGTACTTCGATGCTTTGGCTACCGCAGACGACGACATTCTGCCACCTTGTCTATTGTATACTAAACTTTGTCAAATCGTCCCGAAACGAAAAAAAAACCAAAAAAAAAAAAACAAAAAAATCTACGTATCGAATTATGTAACGTGAACAAAAGGGTCGCCCGTATCCTTATGTTCAGCCCCAACTTTTCGCTCGGAAGCGAGTAAAGGAGCTTTTCCAAGCTTGTTATTTCTCTCTCCTCCGATGCTCTTATGGTCCTCGGTATTCGGAGATTCGTCCCTTCCCGCGGATGATCCCCGTCGTAATTAAATAACGTGCGTTCACGTCTGTCTCACAGGCGCGCCTTTGTCGTCTGTCGTCGTTGATCGTCGAACCGGCCTCGACTGCTGCTACGGCTGCTACTACCGCCGATATGCTGCTCCTCGAAAAATTCCGAAGAAGAGACAGAAATGTGTGAAAAAGAGAAAGAAAGAGAGAGAGAACAACAAGCCTCGCAAGCTTGCACAGACACCGACCGACCGACTGACTGACTCTCGGCTCGTCCGTCCGGCTCGGAGTGCTCGCGCGGGGGAGGCTAATGCGCTCGGCGCTCTCTTGCCCTTACGCCGCTGCTATCTGCCGCTCTCTCTTTTTCTCCGTGCGCGCACGCCTCGTCCCAAGTGCAATGCTTACCTCGGCTTGTACTTAATTGGCTCGAGCGTGTGCGTGAGCGAGCGGGGGGATGGACGCCGGCCGCTCTCTCCTCCATGGCCCACTCGGGCTTGCCGATCTCAGGACGCATGCGCCCTAGATCCCCGTGCCGAGGATCCCCACTTAGCTACGGTGGTCGTCGCAAGGGCGAGCGTTTTCTTGCTCTTTTTTTTCGTTTTCTGTTTTTTTTTTTTTTTTTTTTTTTTTTTTTTTTGTTGGTTCTCGATCTCGTGCTCTAAAAAACAGGGCGGATTCTGTTTCTTGCTTCAACGCCCGATCAGCGAGTTATCTCTGGGACGGGGTGCCTAAAATTACTGCCTACACCGGCTGTACAGCGGGATAAGTGCCGCTCCAAAGCGATGGCGGGCCAGAGAGCGTCTGACGCGCGCGTCATTGAGACTCCGATGGGCGGGGGTGTGTGTTTATTGATACACCGACGACGACGACGATGAGTTTTCGAGTGAGGCGATAGTTACTGCCTTCGTTGGGTACTTGCCTCTCAATCGCCGGGGCCATTACTCTGTGGTCAATGGGCCATGCATCCAGTGGGTGTCACTTGGACGTTCAAATGGCGTTTTAATAGCTACCGTCACCTCAAGCTCCTACTGTTGTACCTATATACTGTTTTCGGAAATCCTCACCCGAGATGAATGTTTTAATGTTACGTAGGGTATTTTTTAATGATTACGTTTAGCCCGTGAATCATGAATAAATAATATATATAAATGAGAGCGGCCAATAGAGTTGATGTCGGATGGTAAATTTTCAGGGAGAGGTGACAGAGCCGACAAATATGTGCAAGCAGTTTTCTCGGTACAGTCACCTGGCGTTGCGAGCTTCTGCCAATATTTTCGGTAAACAGATTCGGTACCGTTGGACAGTCGACGAGTGCCTCTAGTCGATGACTCAACTGGCCACTGACAAAGCTCATGACTGACACTACTATTTTCAGTGGATGAATCTTGAATTGAGATGACACTTTTTGCTCAGGTGCAGGTATGACTCCTGTAGTTGAAGCTATTGTGACTAATTGTGACGCTTTTAATCGGGAATAAACGACATAATAAAAAAATACATGAGATAAGTACTTTCTTATAACTGTCTAAAATAATCTATAAGAAAAAAAACTATCCTTAAACGATAAAACGTAGGGGGAAAAAATAAAATAAAAAAATAAGTAACGATGCTATGGTATGTACAACTATCGAAGGGTATTTCAGATTCAGAATTGAGGAACGCCAAAGACGTCATATCTCTCGCGATACCTACCGAAATCAGATGAAAAAACAAAGCCCGAACTAGAGGGAAGGTCGAAAGGGTACATTAAAATACCAGAATCCGTTGGATTGTTTTCCGAGGCATTGGTTTCGGCTTGCCCCTCTCTGACCTCCCTCCACTGCCTCAGGCCGCCTATAAAAGGTCGCCGATGGCTAGCGCGAGCGAGAGACGTGGTGCTCGAGCACCAAGAACAAGAAGAAAATCCCCAAGAGAGAGGCGCACGGGTAATTTGAGATTCGCTCCCACGAGAGGGAAAGAGAAAGGCCAGCTCGGTACGCGCACAACTCCTCGACTCTCCTGCTCTCCGGATCGGTCCTTCTTCTCCTCCTCTTCCTTTTCCTCCTACTCTTGTCCCGCGGCTGCGTGCGCTGTGGACGTTGCTGCCGCTACTAAGGAAATTGCTCCTTCGTTTTTTCCAACTTTTTTTTTTTTTTTCTTTGGACTGTACCTATTACAACACCAGGTTTGGCAGTAAAAAGTAGGAACTGTTATTATCAATTGTCGTGTACCTGTATATATGAGTAATCAAAGTGTAAACGAGAATTGAAAAGAAGCCGATTCTCAGAATATTTCATCGCGTCCCGCGGCACAATTTTCGAAACCTGGCTGGGGAGGAGCGCGTGCACATACTTCATTCATCCCTTCCATTCATTACGGAAATTTGTTCTTTTTTGCCTCCGCTCTCGCTTGCCCCCGCCTATTTGCTGATTTATCGCTGTGCCCGCGTCGCGCTTACCCTGCACCTGACTTGATTCCGCGCCACTTTCTCTCTCTCTCTCTCTCTCATCTTCCCTCTGCCAGTTACGCGTGAATACCTCCTTCCGTTTGTACTCCCGTTGTTTTTCAGGCTCATAGAGAGAGAGAGAGAGAGAGAGAGAGAGAGAGAGAGAGAGAGAGAGAGAAAGAAAAAAAAAAAGAAAAGCACAAGAGTCCCACCTGCATTGCCGTATTGTTTGAGACCAAGTAGAAACAGACGAGTACGGCCAGACGCGAAGCGATTCGAGACCCATTAAAAAAAAATTATAAAGTTGAAGTGCTTCGCGTGATGGTCCAATCGAGCGGAGCTCATATCTCAGTACGAAATTGCTCGGCAGTCGAGGCGCTCCTCGATAACAGTAAGAACTCGCCGTACGTGGTTTATACGCTCGCGCGTGTGTGCGGGCCGAAAATTCATCTCTACCTCGGTGGGCAGGCAGGCAGGCACGCTGGCCCAATTTTCTAAATATACGCTCCACCAACCCTCCCCCCACACCCCCTCTACCGCTCGGCTGGATCTCTCTCGTGCGTGTGGGCGCTCGCCTACACGTATACGAATCTTGACTTTCGGCCCGAGCGCGTGTGTTTATAAACACGTGCTCTGCCGATCGATCGATACCAGAAATCGTTATTTGACACCCCATTCGCGAGCCTCCACGTACATTTATTCGTCGCTGCGACGAAACTTCTCTCCACGTTTCGCACCTCACGCGCGGAAGGGAGAGATTTACCGCATACGCATGAACACTTCAGCTTGTAGGTAATCTCGTTGTTTACCCTCTACCGACTCGCTCGCGAGGGCAGTATTAATTGCATACCCACATTGTTTTACTCCATTTGGCTGTAAGAGGGGGGGGGGGTCAAGCGCAATTACGGTCGCGATTAGCGCCGAGGTGAGTAAACTTGGCACGTGCGGCTTCTCGGGAGCACCCGTGTCAGAAATCATGGGGAGCTTTTTTGCACCACCCTCGAACTCGAGCGATGGCGAATTTCTTCATTTCGCGTGAAAATTAACGTCGCGAGTGCGCTCACGTGGACCCCGAAATAAAGATGTTGTAATTGCGCGCGAAGTTTTAGGTGGTACGGGCCGATTAATCGCGAATATAGCGCGCCCAAGGGTTTGGAAATAGAATTAATGTCGCGCGGAGGAGCATAATGTGACTTGTTCCGTGGAGCGGTTTGGTGCGAGATGAAAAGGCGAGAAACCGGAGCGCCGGGACGCGGTCGTTGGGTTTCATGGTTTTTGCAGCTTTGGGGGGGGGGGGGGTACTGTATTTCGATCGGGTGTATTTTTGCGCCAACACTCCCTTCGTTGTAGATCCAAACAAAGTCAAAACAATGCCCGGTTTTTTTTGTTCTCCACTCATTCTTTTGTCAGTAGTTTCGGGGGTATTATTTTTTGATCAAGAGCATGAGTCACGGTCCAAGTTTCGTCGTTTTAAAAGTAGTGCACGCCGCGTTATACCCTGTTGGGCAATTATTTGGAATTCACGAAAAAACGTTATTTTGAGGCTTTTCCGAGCTGAGGGAAAATTTCAATTTGGAACCCGAGAAATCGTGTACTTACATGCACCTCCAGCATATTTGTGTGACAAACTTTTGGTTTTCAGTACATTTTTCGCAGGCCAAACGGAGGGAAGAAATGATTTTTTCAGAAAAACAATTTTAGAAGGCACTCACACGAGAGAGTGTACGATTGTGAGGTGTCTTATGCGCGGGAGTGGTGAAACTGAAAATATCGAGAGTTTCTTCGACCCAGGGAATTCCAAGTAAAAAAAAAAAATTCTCAACGTTACCCAGTGCTTCTCACCCACTGATACATTTTCAATTCACGGTTTCTCGTTATTTTTTCACGAGGCTCGCAATGAGATGGGAGTGAGCAATTAGTTTCCATTCGATGGTGCGTATAACAGTATCATCTCGTGATATACGAGACCGTCAACAGCGACAAATATCGGGATGTAGTTGGCATGTTCTAATCTTAGGCGGTACGAATTTCGAAAGAAATTTATGGTCCAGAGCTCCGGAGAAAGCGTAAAACTGATCGTTTGTTGATAAATCTTGTATTAAAAATACATCCTAAAATTTGAACGTATTACATCAAGAGTTTTTGCAAATTGCTCGTATAGTAGGTAACCATCAACCTAGGAAGTTCTCGCGAACAACCGATCTTTTCGATGATGGCTATTTATTTTGCCTTTTTCCAGGGAAAAGTCGACTAGCCAAAAGCATATGCATATATTGATGCCGTATACGTGAAAAACGGGGCTCTATTCTCGTCTCGGTGTGTAAAAAAAGACCAAGACGCGAATTCCACGGGAAACGTTTATTTTAACAAACGAAACGCGCGATCGCACGAGAGACTTTTCCGGCACTCCACGGGCGCATATTACGTGCAAATGTATATACCCACGAGAGAGCATCACACACTTATCCGCGAGATATGCGCGCGTGGAGCAAACAAGCACCGAAAGCTCGAGCGAAAGCCACAGAGGCGAGTTATTTTCTCGCGATCTTGGCAGCCGCGCCCGCGTTCCTCGGCCGATTATTAAGCCGAGTAGCCCGTGTATTTTAATATATGGTCATTATATCAGAGCTCCTTTTCCCCCTCGCCTCGTACACCTTTCGCACCGTATCACCCATCGCAACGCACCTCGCTGTCTCTCTATTTTTTTTTTTTTTTTTTTTTTTTTTTTTTTTTTTTTTTCCAGAGAACTCCACCCCGGTGTTGCCGATCGGCAGAGAGTTTTTTTGCGTCAAAGGACGCCCAGAAGAAACAAGATGAGCAACCGGTTCTATTTCCACGCCGGGCCTTTTCGCTCGCCGGAGAAAATATTTCCGCTCGCTTGGCTGCGTTATTTTTAGG